CACATAAGATGAAAACAACGTATTCATGCGTCATCTTTACTACACAGTTTGAAAAAATAAGGTCTTACTTCTCCAAAGAGGAAATGCTGATAGCAAACAAGCATATGAAAAAATGTTCAACATCACTTGTAATAAGGGAGATGCAAATTAAAACCACAATGAGATACCACCTCACCCCAGTGAGAATGGCACATCTTAAAACAACTAGCAACAACAAATGTTGGCGAGGATGTGGAGAAAAAGAAACTCTCCTGCTGCTGGAAATGCAAACGAGTATAGCCACTATGGAAAACTGTTCGGAGGTTCCTCAAACTGCTAAACACGGAGCTTCCCTATGACCCAGCAATACCACACCTAGCTATCTACCCAAAAGATAGAAAAACACTGATTCAGAAAGATGCCAGCACCCCCATGTTTATTACTGCTTTATTTATAATTGGAAAGACATAGAAACAGCCCAAATGCCCAAAAGTGGATGACTGGATTAAAAAGATGTGGTACATATACACAATGTAGTATTACTCAGCAACCCAAAACAAAACAAAACAAAACATCCACATGCCTTTTGCAACAACATGTATAGAGCTGGAGAAGATCATGCTTAGTAAAATAAGCCAGAAAGAAAAGGATAAACACCGGATGGTTTCTCTCATAGCAGGAGTATAACAGACGAGAAAATAATAATAATAATGAACAGCTAAATACCAGTGATATTTTATGGAGGTGGAGTAGGGAATGGGATCAAAAGTAGTGGGGGAGAGGGAAATACACTGGACTATGGTGATGGCACATGGGTGATTTGGTGATGGGAATCCCACAGGGAATTGCAACTGAGATAAAAAAAAAAATGCACAAATGATGTAAAAATAAACTATCATGTTATTTAAAAAAAATAAGGTCTTACTTCATAATGATAAAACTTAATATTATATCTAAAATTCTGTCTTCTGAATATATAACACAAAAGGGTTACACAGTGCAATTTTTCACATGAAAAATGTTCGGTGTGAAAAAGGGACTGTACTTTGGGTTTCACTGTAAATATTTTTATAGTTTCAAGGAATAAAATCTACCCATACTACATGAAATATACAAGGAAAATAAATTATTCACTGAAATAAATAAAAATCATTTAAGGACTAGGCAATAAGCTAAAAAGTTACATCTATTTATTTTCACAAACTCATTCAAATCATCTCAACGTAACAGTTTCATTGCTTTACAACTTCATCTCAGCTTCACAGACTCTCAGAATATTAGTTAAAAGGAAACATGGATATCTACCTTGCTATCATTTAAAGGTGACCAAACCAATGACTTGCTCAGTATTATCTAACAAATTAGCATCAGTGATTCAAAAAGACAGATGTTAAGATATAGCAATAAAAAGGAACCCAAGGTATTTTTATACATTTCCCCCCCCTTCAATTAAAAACAAATTATTGCTTTCTGGATAACACAAATATCATATCTTGATTACAGAATTGTGGAAATACCAACCATATAAAGAAAAATATCAATAATAATTTCATCATTCAGAAAAGCTTTGCCAATAAAGTAATGCATTTCTTCTACTACTCTTTCATTTGCCCTACATTTAAAAACAGTATGAACATACAAATTAACAAAATATAGATGATATACACAGTAAACTTGATCCATTTTTCACTTCATATTACCTGATTAAAATATTTAATAAAAATATCTGAAAGATTATACAACATTCTTTAATTTGACAGCAATATATTTTATGTAATATCCTGCTATCACAAGATATCTATCTGGATTGCTATCCTGGTAGTTCTAGTTACTTTCTTAGGAAAAAAAAAACCTATACATGAGATTACCAAGTCAAAGTATATTTATTTTAACAACTCTGTATTTCATCAATGGAGCAGTGTTTAATGCACATTTCACTATATTTCTCATTGACAAAGGACAACAGTTTTAGTAATTCTTGCCAAGCTCAGAGGTAAAATGGTTGATTGAATTTGCATTTACTTCTTACTAATACTGAATATTTTTATATATCTGTTGTCATGTATTTCTTTTATAAATTTTTTATCTTTTGAAATATAATATATATATGGGAAATAAATAAATCTTTTTTTTTTTTTTAATTGGCGTATACAAGCCAGAGGTGTAGGGGCAGTGAAAGGATTCACCAACGACAGAGTAGGAAGCAAAATAGGCAAATCAAGGAAGTACACCTCTGAGGGAGCAGCGGGCGGGTCAGGAGAGGTCTGCCACGCCATGTGGATCACCTCTAGGGTGGGGATAGAATTCGCACTGAAGGGGCTGCATCCTAACCTGTTGCACTATCAGGGAGGGCCCCAGAAAATAAATATATATGGCATTTTATTGAGATAGGTAATCAAATCACCACTCAAATAACAGTAAAGAATTTTTCTAAAGCCACCAACCCATGTACAAAAAACATACGGAGATAAACAATGAGAAATAAAATCTTGGTTTTTTCAAAAGTGAAAACAGCTACTTTTAGTAGGTATTATTTACTATGGTAAAAGAATAATGTATTACGGATAGAATGATTATGAGAATGGAAATCTGTTTGTATAATTTTTTTTCCTTATATTGTATTAGGCTTTTATTTTTTGGCTGTCTGATTTGTTGTTGTTTTATTTTTAAAGTAACCTCTTGACCTTCTTACACTGTTGTTAATTTGGAAGCAGTATTTGATTTCTCCACACAGGTTTAATCCCTGAAGTCCTCCCACCACCACAGCACTTGTGCTCCATCCCCTATATCCCTTATGCTCTTCCCTCTCCTGTTTTGAGCCCACTCCCTCCCTCCCCCTGTTGTATGTCTCAGATCTGTGGTCATGTAATTAAGACTTTGTCTGTTTCCTAACCCTTTGTTTAGTTCTTGTATATTCCACACATAACAGAAACCATCCAATATTCATCTTTCTCCTTCTGAGTTATTTTGCCAGAATAATTCCTTCCAGCTCTACTCATGTTACTGCAATGGCTTGATGTTATGTTTTTTGATTTCTGAGTAGTATTCTATTGTGTATATTTACCACTGCTTTTTGATCCATTCATCTTTTTTGTAGCATTTAGGTTGTTTCTAAATCTTGGCAATTGTAAACAGTGTTGCAATAAACAGAAGTGCAGTTTTCCTTTTAAATTAGTGTTTAAATGTTTTTTGGATAGATTCTTAGGAGTGGAAAATGCTGGATCATATGGTAGATTCACTTAGTGTTCTGAGGAAAATCCATATAGCTCTCCACAGGGGCTGGACCAGTTTACATTTCCACCAGTAGTGTAAAAGGGTTCTTTTTCTACCATATCGTTGCCAGCATTTGCTACTGCTAGTTTTCTAATGTGGGCCATTCTGGTATCTCATTATGGCTTTGATTTGCATTTCTCTGATATTAAGTGAGATTGAACTTTTTTTTTTATATGCTTTTTGCCAACTGCATTTCTTCTTTGGAAAAGTGTCAGTTTAGACATTCTGCCCATTTTATGTTTAGGTTGCTTGCTTTATTTTTGGTAAGTTCTGTAAGCTCTTTGTAGATGTTTGGTATCAGTTCCTTCTCAGCTGTACATTGTGCAAACATTTTATCCTATTAATTATGCTGTCTCTACCTTTTGGTTGCTGTTTCTTTTGCTGTATAGAAGCTTTTCAGTTTGGTGTAGCTCCAGTTGTTTATCTTCTCCTTTGCTTTTCCTGCTTCTGGGGATGAGTTCTCAAAGATGTTTCTGGATTTTATGTCACAGAATATTTTGCCTATGTTTTCTTCTACATATTTTATGGTTTCAAGTCTTACACTCAAGTCTTTTTATCCCATTTTGAGTTGTTTTTTTGTGTATGGTGTGAGATAGCTATCTAGTTTTGTTCTTTTGCATGTGGCAGTCCAGTTTTCCCAGCAGCATTTATTGAGGGGGCTTCCCTTGTCCCAGTGTATACTCTTTGCTCCCTTGTCAAAGGTAAGTCAATCATATACATGTGGTTAATTTCTGGACTTTCAATTCAGTTCCACTGGTTTGTGTGTCTGTTTTGTTCTAATACCATGCTACTATTATTATTATGGCTTTGTAGTATAATTTAAGGTCTGGGAGTTAATACTGTCATTCTTCCTCCTTTGAGTTAGGAAAGTTTAGGTTATTCAAGGTCCTTCAGCAATATTTTGGTCCATTTCTTTGAAGAATGCCTTTGAGATTTTTACTAGAATTACCTTTAAAAAAATTGCTTATGGTAGGATGGCCATTTTGATAATATTAATCATTCCAATCCATGAACAAGGAATGTCTTTCCATGTCTTTGTGTTTCTTCTATTTCTTTTAACAAAGTTTGGCAATTCTCCTTTTATAAGTCTTTCACCTCCTTTGTTAGGTTTATTCCCATGCACTTAATGCTTTTGGTACAAGTGTATATGAGATGGTTTTCTTAATTTCTTCCTCTTTAGACTGATTGTTTATTTTTGGAAGGCCTCTGATTTTTGTGTATTGATTTTGTGGCCTATTACCTTATTGGTTTATTTTTTTAGTTTTTTTCATGGATTTTTTTTTTTTTAGGATTCCCTATATATACTATTATATCATCTATACATAATGATAGTCTTACTTCTTCTTTTCCAATCTGGACATTTATTTCTTTCTCTTGTATAACTGCTCTAGTTAGGACTTCCATTATTATATTATATCACTGGTGTAGACAACAATTCTTTATGACAGAATTTATATATATAAATGAATTCAATAGGACAAAGAATCTTTCATGTAACAGATACATAACTGTACCAGAAAATTTTACAAATAATAATTAAATGAGGATAAACAATAAGCAGAAGAAAACACGGGTAATGGTATGAGTAAAACAAATTTTTAAAAAAAGGTTTTTGCAAAATTAGAAGGTTGAATCTCAAATGGATTTGTTAGAATTTTATCAAGCATTGACTTCAATTATTTGTATTTCAGTAAGAAAGATAATATCATCATTTAAAAACTAATGTAATAATTCTGGAAATTACTTACACTAACAATTGATGAAGAAGTTGACAAGTTTAAACCTTCAAGATCAGCTATCAAACTTGGAGAAAGAGCTGGTGTGGGAAGTGCAACTGGAGTGGAGAGTTGATTAACTGTAAGAAAAGGCTCAATTTAGCAAAAGTTTATGAAAATTTAATTCATATTATAAAAACAGATTATTACTTTATTTGTAGTTCTAATTACATTACTTTAATTAATAAATCTATAACGATTTTATTTAACAGTCTGAGTTAGTTAAATTATCATCAAATCATGACAGTTAGCCTGAACTTCCAATACATAATGGCAAGGTGGCCGAAAAGGTCTGTAAAGGGCAATGGGTGTAGTGTGATGACATGATTCTAAGAAGCTTAAAACTTATTTCCCTGAATCATATAGTGTTACAAACCAATGTTACAATGCACAAAAAAAGATGGCATATCCTGAAGGATATAAACATATGAGTAATATAGTTTCTGAAAATTTATCATAAAACATTATTTCTGACATTTATCACCAGTAACTTCACAAAAAGAAAAAAACTGATTTTCTTTTTCAGATTAATATGAAAAATAAAAAGTTTTCAATAAATTCTCTGGTTGATTTAGAAATGTTGAAAAAGGGTGTTGAGGCCTTCCCTGGTGGCGCAGCGGGTTAAAGCACAGCACTGAGAATCTAAAGCCGCTTCCACATGAGTTCCATTCCTGCCTGCCCCAGAGGTGACCACATGGTGCAGCAGACCTCTCCTGACCCGCCCGCTGCTCTCCTCAGCAGTGTACTTCGTCGATCTGCTTGTTCTGTTCCCTACTCTGTCTCTGGTGAAGCCTCTCACCGCCCCTGAGCCTCTGGCCTGTACCCCAGTTCTGTATGCACAAATAAATAAATCTTTAAAAAAAAAAGGGGGTGCTGAATTCCTTTTTCATTTTATTCTCTATTCTAAAAAGAGAGATGCCCAGTCTACATAATTCCCTTCTAATTACACTTTGTAAGCAAAAGCTATATTTTAAAGAAATATTTGACTGACTTTAAAATTCCTTTGTTCTTGAGATCAGATACCTCAAAATTTGAAAATCTAAAATATGCAATGATCATGTTACTCCTAATAAGAATCTTCAAAGACTTACAAATGACTATGATGATTAAAGTCCAATCCCTTGGAACTCGCCATGGGGTAGGGTTAAAGTCTAAATGCTATCAAGCTATCACCAGTCATTGAGGCATGAGTTCAATCCCTTGTCAGGGAGCTAACCCACATGGTGCAACAGACCTCTCCTGTCTCACCTGCTTCTCCCTTCAGTAGTCTATTTCAGTAGATCTGTCTTTTCTGCTTCGCACTCTGTCTTTCGTGAATCCTCTCATCCCCCGCATCTCTGGCCTACACCCCAGTTCTTGTATACATAAGTAAATAATAAAAAAAAACTATTAAAAAATAAAGTCCAAAATGAAAAATGATGTAAAAATATATATTAAATAAAATATTAAAAAGATATAAACTAAAACTAGAACCTCAAAAAAGAAAAAAATGAAGTTTACCTCCTCAATTAAAGGCAAAAGGTCCTTAGGAGTCTAGTTCTTAACATGGTCCAAAAGATTTCTGTGATGATGAAATATACAATTGGCCACTAGTCACATATGGCAATTGTACCCTTGAAAAGTGCTAATATGATTGAAGAACTGCATTTTAAATTTTAATTTAAATTCAAGAAGTGACCACATATTGGGTCATGTAAGACTAGCTTATCTCCAATACAGTAATTACCCCTTATGTTTTATCTCTACCAAGTAATAGTTTCCAAGATCTTGTTTCATGTTGTGAGCCTATATACTACTATATACCTAGAAAATATTTTCTGCCTTGGCTCATCTTGCAGTTTTTCCCTAATAAGACACCATTTGGAAGGAAGGCACAACCTGACTCAATTAAACATAGCTTCAATGTACTTTTGTTTCACAGCTATACATGGCCAAACATTTATAACTGTACTTTTCATCAATACAAATTTACAATTCTGTGTGAGCAGACTTTAATATAGTAATTTTTAGTGCTTGTAATTGTTCAATTGTATGTTGATAGAAAAAAATTAAGATGGACCCACCCTGTGGAGCAACAGGTTAAAGTGCAGCACTCTTAAACTGTCCACAGACACTGAAGCCTGAGTTTGATCCCCGGCCAGGAAGCTGACCCACATGGTGCAGGAGACCTCTCCTGTCTCTCCTGCTGCTCCCCTTGGCAGTGTATTTCAGTAGATCTGTCTGTTCTATTCCCCACTCTGTCTCTGATGAATTCTCTCAGCCTCCCCCACCCATTTCTGGCCCGTATCCCAGTTCTTGTATGCATAAATAAGTAAATCTTTAAAAAAATAAAAAATTAAGACAAAGGAAAAAGTTCTACCTTTCAACAAATTATTACACCAAACAACACTATCAAGGAAGTAATGTTAATTCAGTTTGACATCACTTTCCAAAGTATGTTTTTCTTATTTTAATCTAATTCTATAAGTTAGGAAAAACAAATATTAATTCATAAAGCTAAAGGTTGAATATTTTTTTGAACATAAAAGTTACAGACATGGTCTCTGTCTTAATTCAATTAAAGTGTAGATGAGAAAAAAGGGTACATGTACCTTAAGATTAAAAAATAAAAGTAGGCCCTCCCTGGTGGCACAGCTGGTTAAAGCGCTGCACTAAGAAGCTGAAGCCACTTCTGCATGAGTTCAATTCCTGCCTGCCCTGGAGGAGATCACATGGTGTGGCAGACCTCTCCTGGCCCACCTGCTGCTCCCCTCAGCAGTGTACTTCGTCGATCTGCCTGTTCTGCTCCCCACTCTGTCTCTGGTGGAGTCTTTCACCACCCCTGAGTCTCTGGCCTATACCCCAATTCTGTATGCACAAATAAATGAATCTTTAAAAATAAATAAATAATAAATAAAAGTAATAGGTCCATGAATGATAATGCCATGAAGAGAAAATTTTCAAAGGAAAAGCTCAACATTCACAACAGAAAGAGTGGAGTGGAGATTGGGTGGAAGAGAGAATATAACCAACCTGTGGTTTCTCCCTCATACTTCTTTAGGGTGGCCGAAGCACTACTATAGTCTCTAGACTTCCTCAGACCTACTGAGGAAAACCATTACACTGTTAATTGTGTCACAGGGAGTGGAGAAACAAAGACAGAATCATTGGAGGCAGGTGGTAAGAGAAGGAGGGAACAAAGCCCAGTTTGTAAGAGTAGGATTTTAAAAAGAAGATATAAAGTAGCTGGCTAATTTTTGGTGGGAAAAATGTTATAAAACAAAAGGGGAGAGATAGAAAAAACTAGAATGCAAAGGGAGATGGAATTATCCCATAGACCAAAGAGAACTGTTAAATCTAACAAAAATAGTAATGAAATCATAAATTTGAAACTGGAGGATGATTAATCAGGTGGTAGCATAAAGGGACTGACTAAAGGAAAGAACATCGTATTGGCAATAAGGAAGGACTTACAGTTATTGAGGAATGAGGTGCAAAAGACTGAGATAGATAATGGCAGTGGAAAGCATAGAAGGGGCATTTGTATTAAAGACATTGTAAACTAAAGCACAGAGGGGTTAAGTCCTGCCAATGTCATAAGTAAAGCGAATAGAACCACTGTAGGATTAGAAAATGGTTTTTCTGACTTGGGTCAAAATATATTGCTTTTCCACGCAACAGGTCATTTTACTGGTGGGTTCTAAATGCATGCTTGTGCATTTGTTTGTCCATTCAACATATTAAATACTCATATAAGGCAATAGGAAATAGTCTCTGATTTCAATTATAAGTTGGTTAAACATGAAGAGAGGAGAAAGACATCAAAGCATGAGGAAAATTCACTCCACAGGAAAGTTTGAGCTTTAAAAAAAAGACAATGAGATAGGCTTTTAATATTTCAGAAAACAGAGTCTCTTATTAAGGAAATTATTATACATCTATTTACAAGTCTGGCAAGATGAAAGCTGGCACAGAAAGTTAATTCTTACTTATATTTTGGGGCTAAATGATTATGCCAAAGTATTTAATTAATGCATTTTAAAACTCTACAGTTTTTTTTATAATAACATGGCATTCAAATGAAAATGAGATAGTAATTTCACTTATCAAGTTGAAAAGAAAAAATTTAAAATATAAAATCCAGCATTGGTAAGGGTATAAGGAATCTAGCACTCTCATAGTAATACTGTGTAAATTGGTATATGTTTTATAGTAGGCAACTGCACAGAACAGAATTCTTGAAAACTATGGCCCTGGCAATTCTATTCTTGGAAATTTATCTTAAACAAACAGTCATGGTGAAAATGAAATAATATACTTAGAACAATGTGTATTACTTCATGATGATCTCAAAGCAATGAAAGTGAGTTAAAATTTCAACAATGTAAAACCTGTTAAATGGTATTACAACATTATAAAGAAAAACCATGTAGACATTAAAAATGAAGTTGTTAAAGATTATGATGTGGAAAGGAATATGTATGATAAACAAGAGAGAGACGGGATTTGCATATGAAAAGACTGAACTCATATGTCAAAAATTAATCCAGGTGTCTGTTTTATTTTCTACAAAACATTATTTTTTTAAAATAAAACTAAAGTAGCTTTAATACTCATATAATTACCCTTTTGATCAGAGTTTTGCTTTAAAATTTAAACATAACAAATAAAGAAATGTTTAACATGAACCGATTAATTTATTAAATGCAATCTTCTGCTACTGTTTCTTGTTCATCATCTCCATGAAGGTTAGCCCCTTTATGTAATGCTTATATGCAGGCACAGTTTTATACTTGTTAACACATTTAATCCTCTTAATAATCTTAAAATTACTACTATCCTAATTTATAGATAAAGCAACTAAAGCACAGAGGGATTAAGTAACTTGTCTAAGGTTACACAGGTAGTAAGTAATAAAATTGGGATTCAACTCAGTTCCATTGTCCAGCTCCTCTATCCTCTTGGTCACTCTAGTCAATGGTTCTACTAAAATTTACTCAGTAATATGATAGTATAGATCATAAGGCTTATCTGAACTGTGTTTATTGTTAGCTAATAAAAAATTTTAAAAGATATCACACTTGATTGGTACTGTTATTACAGAGGTTTACATTACAATAAAACAACATCAGAACATCAGGATGGGATTCCTGCTTTATGATCATCCTATTGCGATCATATGGCACAGGGTACTTAGTTTCCAGAAATATAAAATAAGCTCCCCCAAAAGAAAACATAATCAAAGTCTACCTAAGTTAGATCATATCATCTCCTAGCATAAATATGCTCTATTGTATTATCAACTGACTATGAAACTTAGTCATATAGTTTTGTAATCTAATGTAATGCAGAAAATTTTTGGCCATTCTTTTTTAATTTTACAATGATTAAAATGAGATTTGAGGGCCCTCCCTGGTGGCACAGTGGGTTAAAAGACAGTACTAAGAAACCAAAGCCACTTCACCATGAGTTTGATCCCCGCCCCAGGAGGTGACCCACATGGCGTGGCAGACCTCTCCTGACCCGCCTGCTGCTCCCCTCAGCTGTGTACTTTGTCAGTCGGCCTGTTCTGCTCCCCACTCTGCCTCTGATGAATCCTCTCACCGCCCCTGCATCTCTGGCCTGTACCCAGTTCTGTATGCATAAATAAATAAATCTTAAAAAAAAATAAAATAAAATGAGACTCAAAGAAACAAACTCACCTAACTGAGTAACACCTGTGCTTCTGATAACATCCTCTCAATAGACGCTATAAGGAGATAGCAAGTTACTCATTCAAATTCACAGAACTGTTTTGTAGTAGAGCCAGCACATTACTAGGGTTGCTATATTGCTTCCTTGAAGACAAAATGTTACCAGGTGATGACAAGCCTTCTCTCATCCATGATTTTAATTTTCTTACTCCTTTTGCCTCCAACTGCTTAACTAGTTCTTATTTCTTACAGAGCTTGTTGTCTCAGTACAGCTAGGTGGTTTAGAAAGTATCCCAGTACCTAACAGATTCTGTGCACATCTCTTTTCTCATTTCATTTATAATGCGGCAATCTAATTGCCAACTTATCCGTTTCTCCCATTACATTTTGAGAGTTCCTTGGGTAGGAACAATGTTGTATTCATTTAGAATCTCCCACATGTAGTCGATTACTTAGATCAGAGCAAGTGTTCAATATATGTTTTCTGAACAAAGACAGATAAATTCAGTTTTTCCTGGTATGCAGTGTGTACTGAACAAATAACCTCTGTTGGATTATGATGTGTCTCTTAGATAAAACACAGGAATGTGTCTGCCCTTCCTTCAAAATAAATCAGATTCTCACAACTGAGAACTCAAGCAGCTAGAGAGACTTTTAAACATTTGATCAACAAACTGCTTACCATAGACCTCGGAGAACCATTAGAAGCTAATAAGCAGCATATAATGAAGTTGGTGTTTTAAGAACCATTCTCAACAGTGCGTATCTCTCACAGCACCCCACATATCATTATCTCCAAGCACAGATCATGTCTTCTTCCACAGGTCTTTGTGGCTTTTGGGTTGCTTTCTTTTTCTTTCTTTTTTTTTTTTTTTACTACATTTTATATCTCCCTATCTCTCTCATTTAACAAGTGACTTGTTCAGGAATCTGTCCCTGACTAGATTTTAGTCGCTTGAAAAGAATGACTAAATTCTACTTATCTCTTCTATACGCTAGCAAAGTAACCAGTGCTTTGCAGAAAGACAAAAACATTAACTTGTTAATGAGTTTTCATTTCTGAACAAATGCAAGACTATAAGAAAGAGATTTTTAAAGAAACCGCTTGGATATTAAAAAAAATACAACCGATCATGAGTCAAAATAGATATAGTTGGGAGGAAATTCCCCTTAAAATGAAAACAATCACATATTTAAATTCTTAAAATTTAACATCGAAGAAAAACTTTGTTCTATGCATAAAAACATACTTAAAATAAAAATTTTATCATTTTACAGGTTTTACTTTTTCCCTTAGCCACCAGGAAATCAGTATCAAATATAAGGAGAAAATGTAATTAGTATACTATAGCTCCTTATACATTCATTCTTTATTCCTTCTTAAAAGTGCTTGATTGTGGTTCTTTTTTTTTTAAATTTTTTTTTAAGATATATTTATTTGTGCATACAGAACTGGGGTACAGGCCAGAGACTCAGGGGTGGCGAAAGACTTCACTAGAGACAGAGTGGGGAGCAGAACAGGCAGATCGACGAAGTACATTGCTGAGGGGAGCAGCGGGCGGGTCAGGAGAGGTCTGCCGCGCCATGTGGTCACCTCCAGGGCAGGCGGGAATCGAACTCATGCAGAAGTGGCTTTAGCTTCTCAGTGCTGTGCTTTAACCCGCTGCGCCACCAGGGAGGGCCTGATTGTGGTTCTTTAATGAGAATAAACTTTCTAAATTCTGAAAGTTACATCTAAATACAAAATATTCATTATCACAGAAAGATATAAAACAAAAATCTTTTTCTCCTCTCTCTTCCTAGTGTAGCCCTACACCTATAGGGGCCAGAGCTAACCACTACTAGGTGATTATCCTGTAACGTGCCAGAAATGTATGGTGTATAATTGTGAGCAGTATACTCTGTTTTGTTTTGTTTTTACAGCAATGGAATCATGCTTTGCATGTATCTTCTTTAAATTGCAGTATTTTAGATACACAACTATGTAATTAGACATACAGACTTCTTAATTTTGTTAATAGTACGAAGTTAATTCCAGTATCTTTCTCAAAGTCACAATGCAGGAAGATTTAAAGAGAGATGATCAATAACATATATACCTGACTCAGTACACTGGTAGGAGTCTAAATTCTCAGTATAGATTTGCCAAAACAAGGATTTTTTGCAGATAAAAGATATTGATGGGTAAAAACCACACTTGTCGGCCCTGCCTGGTGGCGCAGCGAGTTAAAGCACAGCATTAAGAAGCTAAAGCCACTTCCGCATGAGTTCAATCCCCGCCTACCCCAGAGGTGACCACATGGCGTGGCAGACCTCTCCTGGCCCGCCTGCTGCTCCCAGCAGTTTACTTCGTCGATCTGCCTGTTCTGCTCCCCACTCTGTCTCTGGTGAATCCTATCACCCTCCACATCTCTGGCCTGTATCCCAGTTCTGTCTGAATAAATAAATAAATCTTTACCCCCCCCCCAAAAAAAACAAAACGACACTTGTCTTCAAAGTCTTTGCAACCATTTCTATTACTACTGAAAATATGTAAGAAGACAGCATACCCTTTGTATTTCCAACTACTTTCCCATTTCCTTACATCTTTAACTTAGGTGTCTCAATGCCCACAATCAAAACTTCATAGGCCGAAGTTGTAAGATGGATACTTAATTACTGAAACAAGTATAAATTACTAAAGCAAAAGATCTTAAAATTAATTTCCTGTTCTCTTATTTGACCAATTATATCTATTCATGTGATACAAAACTGATTATGCCAAATATTAGGAAGAAACAGGTACTAACAACTAATTTATAATTTTTTTTTGCTCTATTCATCTATAAAGAATATACAGTTTTGAGAAATATAAATGAAAATCACTATTAAAATTACTACAACTAAACACAGAAGAAAAAGTTACAATACTTACAATCATCTAGATCTAGAAGTGAGACATTTTTGGTAACAGGATTTCTTTCTTGTAATTTCTTCTCTTTTTCCTATAAAAAAGGAAAAATTCCACTTATTATATGTTCTATTTTGAAAAAAATCTATGTAGAAGTCCTTAATGTTTCAAAACATTTTCCTCTGCTCAGTCTTCCAAAAAAAAATCAAATTAATTTTTGTATGGTTACACAAATGAGCTTTTTTGAATCAAAATTTGTATTTCAGATAGCAGAACACATTTTTTCCCCTACCATGAAAAGTATTAACTGTTTATAAGTACTCTGTGATTAAAGATTATAAAGGATCTTTAGGAGAATTTTTAAGGAAGAAATTATTTTATAATTACCTTTTTGCAAACAAAAATGTAATATGCCTCTTTGTTAGAAAGTGCACAAATATCCTTGAAAATAATTTAAGATAAGTTTATTTAAGAAAAAGAAATGTTTAAATAATAGATGCTTCACTCTGTAATGGTTGGCAGGGCTGACAGATTAGCCATTAATGAGATATGGTGTGTGATAAGCTAAATTATACCAGGCACTTGATATTTCAACACTGCATCACATCAGACTGCTTTTGCCAAAGGTATTTGTTCAAATTTATAAATGACATATTCAAACTCTTGCTCTCTAGGGGTTGAAAGGATTTACTTTCTCTAGTTTTTTTTAGGAGAAAAGTATCGCAGAATATATTTACATATACTCTGAACTCAGAGTATATGTAACCACCTCAGTTGGTTTAATCATTCTATCTTATTTTTGAATGAAAATGTACTAAAAATCATGGACTAAAAAAAGTGTCCCCGAGCCCAGGTATTCAGAATTTGGTATATTCAGGAAAAATATGTACTTTTTTTTTTCCCAAAAAAGAATAAATTATGTACAGTACATGGTAACAAAGAGAGTGAGTTAAGTGGGTGTATTTGGGCAAGGTAATTTTATCTTTATAATATATAACTTTAAAAAAATATTTATCTATGCACACAAGAAACAGGATACAGGCCAGAGGTTCAGGGGATGGGGGGTTAGGGGGGGAAGGTGGGTAGAGAATTCACCAGAGACAGGGTGCAAAACAGAATAGGCAGATGTATTGAAATATACTGCTTAGAGGAGCAGTTGCCGAGAAATTAAGGTCAGTTTCCTGGGCGGGGACTGAACTTGTGCTGCAGTGGCTACCGACAGCTTCATAAGTGCTGTGCCTAACCCCATGCACCATCAGGAAGGCCCTATAATATATGCTTTTTAACATTAAGTCTTCTCAAATTAAAGATCAAAAGTAAAGCTTCTGCTAATATACTTTTGTTCACTTTCTCATTACTTCTTCATTCAACAGATATACATACAGAATTTTAACCATTTATCAGATTCTATGCTAAACAGTGGATATAACAGCCAAGATAAACACGGTCCCTGCCTTCACACAGTTTATAATCTACTGAAGATGTTTCTAGCTTATTGTTTATGTAAATTAGTACACATATTTTTTAAGTATTCCTTCAGCCATGAAATGGCATAAAAAAAATAAAAGGTATCATTTAAAGTCTACTCTATGATAGAACTCTTAGAATAGTGCACATGACCACTATATCCAATTATGTTAGAAAATGTTTTTAAATTACCTTCAGTTCTGCTTATTGTTTTCCTTATGCTAGTACTCAGATCATAAAATAATGCACATTAGAATTCTAACTAAAAACATCACACAGATTTTTTTCCTCAAAATAATTATTTTTGCCACTGAAAGTTCCAAATCATCTGTATGGATTTGAATTTTCATCTGTTACTTAAAAACAGAACTCCATTCTTCAAGTGAGTAATGGTCTAGGATAGGAGCAAAAATTGAAAGGTTAGCTCAGAAGCTACAGTTTATAAATTTTAGGTACCAAAAATAGAGAATGAACAAGCCATCCCAACTTGAACGTCATTGCTTTTAAGAAAGAACATGTAACAAAAAGAGCTGGTCACCATGTGACTTATCAAATGCTATGCTGAGCACAATGGGTGTAGCTTCCTATAAGCTACAATGGTGCATGACAGTCGTTGAACTATAACCTCCAAATCTGAAAAATTAGAAACCCATCAAATCAAGAAAAAGTTAAAGCCAGATGCATGTCTATACCTTATATTCTACTTCATAGCTAAGAGTATGTAACAGTATCTATTAAATACACATTGGCTCACATACAAAACAGGACAGAACTACATGTGAAATTGGTATAATCTCTTCTTAGAAGGCTAAAACAGAAAGAAAAACGGTTCTCACCAGGATACAATTTCACTGACTTTCTGAGAGCCAAATAATCAGTGACTGAAATACAACATTAGCAATACATAATGGTCATTTCTACTGAACTGAAAAAGCCTTGCATTCTGAATAAAGGATATAAAAGGCTTTGTGATGTGTCTGGCATTCCTTCCTTATATTATATTTCATTTTTCATTTTAAAAAATCCATAGTAAGTTCAAAACATTTTCATACTTAAAGGATCTACTATAAAAATAAAAATCTGAATTCTAAACAAAGAAGTTAAGAGCCCTATTCCATCAAACATTTCTCCATTTGCAATTCATCTTGGTAATAGAGACAGAACCTGGGTAAATGCATATAGGACTTGAGGCAGGAGATTTTTCTTGCTCAATGCATAATTCATGTGCTCCGCCTGCAAAGTGTGTAAAATGAGAATTTCACACCGCAGCATGAGCCATGGAGCTGCAGAGAAAAGGCAGATGAAATCATATTTTACTGTGTGAATTTTATTTCTTACCCTCCCAATATTTATACAAAACCATCATTGACAAACCAAACACATTGACAGATCACCCACTGTTTCCATTGTGTTAGCACTTGAGAAGAGATCAGGCAGAAAGATAGACAATTTGTTTTTGTATATATTTTTAAATAGAGGATTAGGTTTTTAACAGCTGAGTGACTGTATTAGACTTTTATAAGGACAACAGTAACTGATCTTAAAAATCTCACTACAAAAAAACCTAGTTATCAATTCATCATCCTCCAATCTCCACTTTGTTTCTATGGTATTCTATTATACACCTCAACACATCAACATTATCAAAATGAAATATAAAGTCACAGGGTAAAGAAAGTAATTTCTATTAAATATATTTCATTTCTAACAATAAATAAAAGAATCTGGAAATAACACATTAAGTCCTAAATAATACAAACAATACGTTATAATAGATCTGTAAAGATAGTTTATGTATTGTGCATGTTCATCTTTAAGCTGACTAAAATAAAAAGCAAATAGAAAAGAAGATCTGACATGACAAGCATCAAACATGCTTCCTAAGAGGAAACCATTAAAAAGAGGTTTGAAATTTAAAATTGTAAAACAGACTAAGTAGAATGTAAAGTTTGTCAAGCCTATACTGTGCTTTGAAATTAATATAAAATTCAAGTCTAATTTCTAGCCTCACAGGGCAACACATTTGCATGAAATATTTTCAATTAGAATTATCAATCAAGGACAATTTAATGACTTTCTTGCCTTCAAGACATCTCACAAATTTGATTTAAAAAATCTAAGGCTCACACTCACCCTGTGCTTTAAAATGAAAGTATGCTTCCATAAATTGAGACTTCTTTATATGTTAAAAAAAGTTTATACTGTTAAACAAATATTCCCTTTTAGAGTATATCAACTTCAGTAAGAAGCTTACTTAATGGCATTCACCTTGATTTAATGAGCTCAACTGAAGTGAAATGATATTTCTGTTCTGGAAACTTAAAATATGAACTAAATTGGGGAAGACATAAATTGAAAGAGGCAAGGCTTTGAACTGTCATAGTAAAAGCCAGTATTCTATAGTACATAGAAGTTACATAATTACAACATAAATGCTTATAAAAATACAAGTAAAACTTGTTTCCTATTTCTTAAATGTCAGAAAACCAATGAGAAAATAGTTCCTTTCACTTTTTTTCTATGATCTATTTCATTACACATGCCACATTCACTTTATACTAAAGAATCTTTAATATGGTTAATATTTAGTAGTTGTTGCACAGGTCCTGAATGTATTAACAGTTAATGTATCTTAGTTAAGATATGAACGTGGACTAACAAGGTGATAGAGAAATAACTTCAGTAGGTAAAGCATTCTGTCATTCTTGCTACTTATAAAAACATCACTGTTTAGGTTCAATAAAGAAAAATAGTATCTCCTGGTAACTTAAAAAATATTTTAATAAAATTATTGCCATCCGTTCAACATGGTTTTAACTACAATCAGAACATAGCAGTTATATTTTGTAAAAAAAGGATAAATTTATGTGAGTCTTTTGCTGATATAGTAGTCTATATTACTGATTTCTCTTATGCTTCTATATTAAAAAAAAGTTTTTATTTATACTGTGTAAAGTATGTGAAGGGACTTAAACTGTGAAACCATTAAAAGTAAAAGTAATTAATAGGTATTATTTGAGGCAAAACAATTATTTCATACAGTGGATTAGGCTCAATTAAATGTTTCTCTATTAAGTATATTTCAGAAAAGTACACCTACAAATAAAAATATGCTTGCCCAACAAAATTAATTACACCTGAAGAACAGATTATTTTTTTTGGTAATTATCGAAATGCCCCCAGAATGTATGACTACACTTTTGTGTCATATATATATATATATATATATATTGGGGCCTGGCGTTGAATGATAAACCCTAGAGGAGCATAAACAGTGGTTCTCATCCTTTTGAATGTTCCTACACCATTCCCATGAGTGATATCCTTTCATCAGTAACATTTTTCATTCTATGTAGTCATTCTCAACTAGGAGAACTAAAGGGACCACACTCTGATATAAAGCCACTTTCTCCTCAGCATTTATTTTCTGTAATAAGAAAAATGATGCTGAAGAAAGAACAAAGGCATAGAAATAGGAAGGCATACAGTATGTTCAGAGAACTACAAGTAGTCCACAGGGATCAGAACACGGGGCAAAAAGGGATTAAGACTAGCAAGGCATGTTTGGGCATGCTATCATGAGGAGTCTACTGAACTCAAATGACATTGGGGCATCATTATAGCTAGCTTTAGCATTAATCTGACAGTGGTACAGAAGGAATAAGTCAAAGAAGCATCTGCCATCATAGGCCAATGGCCAATGTTGTATGGATGAGATAACAAAGAGCTGCTCAAGAATAGTGATAGCAGGAAAAGAATAAAGAGATGGGAAATAATACACAGAATTTCTAAGGCAACAGTGTAAATATACACAGAAGTGAACGATTAATTCTGGAGCTACAATCTAAGAAAATAGGAAGAATGCTGGTACTAAGTGGCAGAGCATGTCTTGTGACTATATTGAGAAAACAGAGTTGCTGAGTTACAAAATTTGGTATGAATCTGAGAAGCAATATTAAGAGTTTCTGGTGAGATTTAAAAAAGATGCTACTAAGGAAGTAACTCACATAAAATGTATTAACTAAAGTGAGAGGACAGAATGAGTCTCATACTGAGAAGAAAAATAGAGAAAAAAGGAGAGCTAAAGAGAGTCAATGTGGGTCAATTAGTATTTTTTGAAAAGTAAGGTATACCAAGCACTAACTTGGGGAAAATGGTCACAGCTGAGTCTTAGAAGGTGGTAAAAAGTGAAGTAAGCAAAAGAATGAAGTCAAAAGAGTTGGAAAAAAAGAATGCAGAGACTTTCAGATAGAAGGAAAATAGTCATAAAAAGGTGAAGCAGTATAAAAACTAGGCTTTAGGAAAGATCAAAGTTGACTTTTCAGAGTAGTATTTGTAGAAGCAATAGGAATGGTAATCAGGTGATATGGGACTCAAGTACGTGGGTTAAGAAACTGTAAAATATAAACAAGTAAAATAATTTGTAAAAAAAATTGGCAGAGATCATCTAGGGCTTTTTCCTAAACTTTCGATCTTACTTACATATATGCTCTGTCTGTGTGCTCTTCTTTAAATTGGGTAAGACCAGATTGTTTTGTTTGACAAGGTAGGAGTAGGGAGAGGAAGAGATGAAGGTGTGAAGAAGTATAGCACTATCAACAAAACATAGCCAGTGTATAGGGAGCATTTATTCATAGTTATATTATATTCAAAGAATATGGAGTGTATACAGAGCAATGGTGTTTTAGGGAGCTGAGAGATAATGTGAGGTGTTTACAGGGGGTGGCAGCTCAGTTTTCTGAGGAAAAAAAAAAAGTTAAGACCACAAGTTGCATAAACAGTAAGAGTTCATAACTGAATGCTAACTTATAGCATGAGTGGTACTGGAAGAGTTCAGAAGATACAGGAAACATCAGAGTTACCCAAAAATTTAAGTTGCTTTTAGCAGTGGTGGTCTATGACTCTTAACACTTTTGGTATCTCCAGGAACTAATGTTCAAATTTCAAAATGCTCACACCACTATTTTATTTTAAATAATGCTTTACATTGATCTTTCCCTTTTTAGTTTTTATAACAGCACTTGAAAATTCTAGCATTTTTATCTTATAGAAGAGGAAACTGAATAATAAAGATACTATCTTCCAACAAGTAGAAAGCTATACCTTTCTAATAGGACCATCACAAAATGAACTGTCTTGAAAGTCATATACTCAAAGTACCTCCAATACCTTGTTTTTATGTTCAATGTCCCCAAAAGACATTGTCCAGACAAAAGAAAAGAATAAGAGCAAAAGTATAGATTTTGTTGGACTGCAAATTTAAGGCATATGAATTTTCAGCACTAACATACTGTCATGCTAAATTAAGGTAAAGCACCCACCATCTGCCTTCATTACTCATAATTTAGAGCAGAAGCCACAATACTTGGTGTAAAAAGTACTTTTCCACAATTAGAGAGTTGCTCATTATTAGGAAATTGGTACCCTTGTAATTGCATATTATCCTCCAAATCACTCAGAAAGAAATAGAAACAAACAAAAAAAACTACAGTGATTCTAATTTCAGCTGATAAATTAAAATAAACAATTCTATATGCCAATTATAGATAAGACATTCTAATATGGAGAAAAAATACATAAACACAGACATAAAAACTGCAGCAATGCATATAAAAACTAAATTTCTCAAGAGTCTTGGCTCATTACAATACTTTGAATTTGTATTAATGCTCAGTAATAAAATAATTTCAATTATTAAGAGGTTTAATTTGATCAGAGAAGTCTTTGACAAAAAGAAACAAACCAAATCATGGATACAGAGTACTTTTGTAACATTTCATGGAACTCTAACGTTCTGTTTCTAATATTATAGTTACTAAGGTCTTCAATTTTTCAACTTTTACAAAACGTACTATAAAATGACAACTTAATTCTTCCCACTTAGCATTTCTTTATTTCTTATTTAGACATTTATAAAAACACGCATTTCTTATTCTTGGTAGTGTTTACATTTTTTCTAAAACTCCTTGATTTTAAATTCATCTTGTTTTTGCAACTTGATTTACGTAGGAAACGAGATCTCAAACTAGGTGGTGAGATTTTACGCAAAGACAGATAAATATATCTAAAATCTCTGAGAGTTTATGTGAATTTTTGAAAAATTGTATATTATATACAGATACAAGTTTTAAATATAATTTCAAGTTTATAGTAGGTCTTATTATATAAGAATATTTAAAAATACTAGTCATTTTTAAAATGCTTTTTTCAACATTGAATGGTCAATAGGTACATGAAAAAATGCTCATTATCACTTATCATTAGGGAAGAACAAATCAAACCCACCGACAATGAGATACCATCTCACACCTGTAAGAAAGGATCATAACAAAAAAAAAAGGAAACAGCAAGGATTGGTGCTGTGAAGAAAAAGGAACTTTTGTACAATGTTGATGGGAATGCAGACTGGTGTATAACAGTATGGAGATTTCTCAAAATATTAAAAATAGAACTGCATTATGATAAAGCAATTCCATTCCTAGGTAACTTCTTGAAGAATGCCAAAGTACTAATCAAAGGGATATATGCATTTCTATGTTAACTGCTGTCCTATTTATAATAGTCAAGTTATAGAAAGAACTAAACACCCAAAGACAGAGGAGTGGATTAGGAAGATGTAGTACAAACACACACACACAATGGCATACTACTCAGTTATAAAAAAGGTAAATTGTTGGGCCTCCTTGCTGGTGCAGGGGTTAAAGAAGCGCTATCAAGCTATCAAGCCATTGACAGTCACAGCAGCTTGAGTTTCATCCCTCTGAGGCCAGGGAGCTAACCCATCACGCCCGCTGCTCCCCTCAGTAGTGTATATCAGTACATCTCTCTGTTCTGTTCCCCACTGGTGAATCCTCTCACCTTCCCCCCACCACCCACACACACCATTGGTCTACACTCCAGTTCTTGTATGGATACATAAATAAATCTTTTTTTAAAAAAAAGAAAAATTGTTGCACGTATGGAACTGGAGGGGATTATGCTAAGAGAAATAAATTAGAAAGAGAAAAAAAAATACTGGATGGTGTTCACTTATATTGGGGAATACAAAGAAACAAAACATAAAGTCAGACAAAACCAAACCAGTACAAACCCTAGAAATCTACCTGTACTGTTGAGGGTATAAATGGGGTTGGGAGAGGAGGGAGAGCTGATATGTGAATGAGCAATCAGTCTGTTTTTCATAATTCATTTCTTTGCTCAGTACTATTTTTAGATTTTCTTTTATGCCCTCCTAGTAAAAGCCTCCCTTGTCACATCCTAGTCTAGAAAAAAAAAGTTATACTCCTAACACTGACTTCTCTAATTTCAGTGACAAAGAATCTGGTTTGAAAAAAAGTTTCTAACTGCTCTGTGGAGCTGAATTACCAGGAAAGTGATTATCCAGGAAAAAAAAAATTATAAATATGGGTAAAAGATGATAGTGTTTACTTCAGTTGTGAACAACAATGTTAAACTGCTTAGCTTTAGGTGTTAAATCTCATGAAAATAATTTACTGATAACTTTAAAACTTTGCAATAATATACTTCATTTGTCCTGAACAGGAAAATTTTTAGCAAAGCATTTATTTTCAGAAATACTTACTATTAATTAGTTAAAAGTTATAAGAATACTTACATTTGGTAATAAACATATAATGTCTTACCTTAGTGACTTTGCTGGATTCAGATTCACTTTCAGATTCAGATTCTGATTCAGAATCTGAAGAACTTTCTTCTATTGAACTAGATTCAGCATTAGAAGAATCTGAAGTTTTAGATTTTTCATTTTTTGTCTCCCCTTCTTCAGAATCACTGCATAATAATAAATTTTGATCTATCAACTTTAAATCATTTGTATAAACAGGCATAAAAAATCTAATGATAAATGCTAATTGTTCAGTTTGTCTAAGTCAGATAATTTCACTGAGAAGCATTTCCCTTTAGTATGTAAAAACAACAAAAATGATTTAAGAATTCCAGAATATATTAATGAAATAAAAAAGATAATCTTTTAATCAAATAAATTAAACCTATTCATATTTTTAAACCTATTCATATTTAATTATACAAGCTTACAAACCTTTCAAATACCAAAAGTTCTAACACTAATTGATGTCATAAGTAGAAAATAACAAAACATTTGATTTACCAGATATATATATTACCTGTAAATAGTAACAACTTCAAAGATACTTAGTCTGATTTTAAAATGTCAAAAAATATTAAGTTTAAGTTAATAAAATTAAATTTCCATACATCTGGTTTTGCAAAAACAAACTTACATTTTACATCTCTATCCAAGAAGATTTCTCAAATGTGGCTTTTAAACATGAGTAAATGTTACCAGTTTAAAAGAAAATTCTTACAATAAACTAAGTCTCACTAAAAATGTATGACAATCAAAGGTGAATTTGAAAAATACAGAATGATCAGATCTAAGTGCTAATGCTATTGATTCATTTGTTCACTCACTCATTTAACATACTTATTGATTGCCTACCACGTGCTGACATTATGTTAGATGCTATTGATAACAACGTTAGTAAGATAGAAATGATCTGTGCGTCTCTCTTATGATGTCTGCAGTCCTTTGGAAGATTTAGAATAGCAAGATGACAATGAAAATAAAAAGCATGCTAAGTAATAAATCCTGAAGTAAAGCGTAGCATGAGAACATATGAAAGGGTATCTAAACAAACTTAGGGTTCCCAAAGTAAGAGATACTTAATTAAGTAGACATAACAGGAAGAAGGTAGGCATCAGAATAGGGAAGCAGGTCTCCAAAGGGATGGAGTAACAACATGTGAGGTAGAAAACGGTCTTTTTTTTTTTTTTAGGAGAGACACCATGTTTTCTCAGAATGCAGGTCTCATTCTGAGCATGTGTGTGGATATGTGCATGGCATGTCTAGTGTTTGTTCCAAGTCCATATTTTGTGCCGGCAGACTCAGGCATTTTACACCAATTATAAATTAAATGTTTCTGTATTTTCTTAACAGGTTTATTACAATGCAATATTCAGAAAAAGTGAGTAACTTACTCAAGGATGCATAGCAAGGAGGAGTTTAGAATTTGTATTCAAGTCTGTCTTACTCTAAAGACCACATTTTTGCCATTACTCTATACCATCTCTTCAAATGAAAATGCTCAATAATAGAAAACTCAAATTTATTTATTTATTATTAAATGAAAGCTTTGTGCTTAAGCTCCTGAAACTTAAATATATATATCATACAGCTATACCGGCAATGGCAAAGTTTTAAAAACATCTAAGAAACAGGCAGAAAAACATAGGGGGAGGGAAAGTGGTTAAGGCAAGGGAAGAATCAATATTTCCTAGAATTGATTTTTGTGGAGGAAAATGATTGCTGTTTATTAAAAATGGAGTTATGGTAACATCTCAAAAGACATGTAATTATATTTGAAGACTAAAAAATATGTTATTATTTTTTTACTAGCAAAGAAGGGCAATTTACTATCCCCAATTCATTGGTTAAAAACATGTTATTTCAACATATAGAGTTAACTGAGCTATATCCTTTCTGTGTGATGAACAATTCTTTTAAATGCAAACATGGGTAAAGAGAAAAGTCCATTTTTGAAGCTAACATATGATTACAAATTTCTAGAATATTGACTTTTATAATCTGAAAAGGTATTTAGTGTACTGAACAAAATTTTCCCTTACCAGAAACAAGATACTTTTTGTACATTATGTCATGACAGATATTATGATAGTGAACCAGGAATAAAAAATTTCTCTTAAAGAAAAGGTTATGGCAATCCAAGTTATGTTGCAACAAGTGAGTGATTTTAAATATATCTAACTTCTCACTTTTTTAAGATAAGATTTTAAAGGTAAAAGTGTTATTTTGTTATACATCACTCAATTCTGATGGGTAATTATTGTTTACCTTACTGCTTAGAGTTTCAGATGTTAATCTAATGAAAAGAATTTACTGGTAACTAGCTTTTTAACTTTGCAATGATGAAAAGCCTGTATTAATTTAACCTACAGATTTCATTTGTTCTGAACAGGAAAAACAATATAAATCACTTTTAAAATCATTAAATCCTGACTTAAATTAATAAAGTCATAATTAGGGCATTATGCTGTGTTTGTTATGGAAGTGGCAGGGCGAGCTGCTTTAATTACTGTCTGTAATAAAAGGAGCAGAGAGCGTACTGCGCCCCAATCAGTGCTGTCAGCCACGACTGAGCTGGGCTGCAAGCTCATCAAGTGAGTGGGCAGCAGGCTCCCAGAGAAAGGGCCATCATGTCTGCAGAGGCCACTCGCTGACAGCGGCAGGGAAAACAGACTCATGCAATCCAAGGTATTAGACCCAATTACTCAAAATTTTAATGACACTTTAATACATGATAATGTTGTTGATAATGGGCAATCTTAAAAAGCGCTAACGTTAAATATCTTATGACTGTCTTCCTTCACAGCCCTTGACTCTAATATTTGGATCATAATCTTTTTAATATAACGTTATTTAGAAAAATCAATCGTCTTAGTTACATAATGGCAAAGTGTTAAAGGATTTAATTTTAGCTCTCAGCAGAATTGCTACAAAAGGTAATTAAGTGTTTCATACCTACTGCTTGATCACTTAACTGGGCCTTCCAAGGTTACAACAATTTTCAAAGTGTAACCCCAAGATTTCTTCAAGTTCAAAATGAAAATGAACCATACTAAGCAGCAGAATGTGAACTAGCATTTTAAATTAATTTTATAATATTGTATTTGGGGAAAAATACACTTATTTTTCCACTCTGTGAATTAAAGGACATAATGGTCCTGGGGGGGACAATAACACAATATTTTTTGAAGGAAATTTTGACAAAATAATTACCTTTTCCCTTTGGTTTTAGCATTCTTCTTGGCTGTTCTCTTGCTTTTCACATCTGATTCGCTTGAAGTCTCGCTCTCAGACTCACTGGAGGAGTCCTCACTGCTGTCACTGCTGTTTCCTTTCTCGTCTTCTTCAACAGTTTCACTTCCAGATTCACTCTCTACAAAAAATATAACCAGATGCTCTTTGATTTATAGCCATTTAATTAAACATAAGGACACAAGTAACTGTCAATATTCATCACAAGCAAAACCAGATGTTGAATTTTACTTTCCTTTTTGGTTCAACATTTTTTAATCACACTTCCAGTCATTCAGACTCTAGAACTCTAAAACAGGCAAGTGTGGCAGGATTCCACAAGATGCTTTGAGAATGAGCAAAAACAGATAAAAAATAAAAGATGAACCATGTAAAAGAAATTTTGAGAGTCTCACTTTTCAAGTCCACAAGTGTCTAGTTATGGTAAAAGTTATGTTTGGTTTTTCATTTTTTTTTTAAAGATTTATTTATTTATTCTTACAGAACTGGGGTACAGACCAGAGATGCGGAGGGTGAGAGGCTTCACCAGAGACAGAGTGGAGAGCAGAACAGGCAGATCAATGAAGTACACTGCTGAGGAGAGCAGCGGGTGGGTCAGGAGAGGTCTGCCATGCCATGTGGATCTCCTCCCAGGCAGGCGGGGATCGATCTCATGCGGAAGTAGCTTTTGATTCTTAGTACAGTGCTTTAACCCACTGTGCCACCAGGGAGGGCCCTGGTTTTTCATTTTTAAGAATGATACAAGGGTGAGGAATGGTTCTGATTTCCACTGACAGTAGGAAATTTTATTTAGAAAAGACGGCAACAGTTAAAACTTCTTAGGAACAAGTTTTGAGAGGGAGAAGAATCATTCAAATCATCTCTAAAGATTTCTAATTTCAAAGGCAATAAGCAAAATTACTAACTCAAAATGTATTATTTATTTTAGCTAGCGTAAGTTTTCCATTGATGAAGGAAATGATAAAGTTACACTGAAGAGCTACATATGTTAATATTTTATGTGAATTATGATACACCAGAACTTTTAGCAGAAGTGATGTATAGAGTATATTTCTGTATTTTTTTTAAAGATTTATTTATTTATACAGATCTGGGGTACAGGCCAGAGGTGCAGAGGGTGAGAGGATTCACTAGAGACAGAGTGGGGAGCAGAACAGGCAGATCGACGAAGTACACTGCTGAGGGGAGCAGCGGGCGGGTCGGGAGAGGTCTGCCATGCCAAGTGGATCTCCTCCGGGGCAGGCGGGGATTGAACTCATGCGGAAGTGGCTTAAGCTTCTTAGTGCTGTGTTTTAACTCCCCTGCGCCACCAGGGAGGGCCTATATTTCTGTATATTTTAAACATGAAGAGCGAGGTTTTGCTAGCTGAAATGACTGTAGGTGTGTCCCACATGGAGGACAAATGGTTGCCCCTGCCTATCATCTGATGAAGTGCTAAGGCAGAAACAGAATCTATAATTAAAATAGTTTTCTAACAAGTAAATAATATCTACTCTATGAGGACTGATTTATGTATCACAGGGAAAAGCCAGAAGTAGATATATTCTTTTGGAATATCTTGTAGTGTTTATGAGCATGTATTCTCAAGTTAAATTGCCTAGATTTAATCCTAGCTCTGCCAATATCACATGTATGATTAAATAGCTATTCAACCTCTCCAGGTCTCAGTTTCCTTTTTAGCAAATGAAAATAATAATGCTAGCCTCCTTAGAGAGTTATGAAGATTAAACTCTTGAAACAGGTAAAGATTATTAGGAATTAAGAGTGTCTTCCATATAGTATGGCACTCATTATCATCAATTTTTACAAAGATCAATATTTATTTTACAAAGACAAAACAAAACTGCTAAATAAGGATGTTCTAAAATTACGGTTATATCAAGTTGCTCACAAGCACACATTAACTCAGAAAATTGGCCCATAAATAATGAAATGATAACATCTAACTTATTATCTCATGTTAACTACACTGAATTCAACATGAATCAGTCACCAATATTTAATTTTCAAGTTAATGAATTTGAGGAAATTTTTTTTTTTTTCAAAAAAAGACTTCTAGAAAACAAGCTCAAAACTTCTGATAGTATTTACTTTTCCTCCAGTAGTCCAATGCAAATGAACTCCTGACACATGACTCACTGCTTCATGTATTCATATAAACCCAGGAAGTCTTAAGTAAATGTAGTATTTCAAATATATATTAAAAAGGTTAGCTTATGAACAGGCATGAATTTGTGAATAAATGGGATGAAGACAAGTATCCATATGATACATACAACTCTGCAAAAACATCTTTCTCAATTCCTGAAAATTACACTCTAGGCTGAAGTATTTATTTTTTAGCTTGTTACCTGAGAGGGTAATGCATCATATGGGAGGTGGGGGGGGCAAAGGGGAAAAGATAAATTACCTTAGAATAAAGCGAGGGGCTACGGTTCTCCAAGAAATAAAGGTTTTAGGAAAAAAAGATGTCATCTGATTTTGTGTCAGAAACATCTATTAGGTTAATTGTTAATAAAAGTGTTAGAAAGCTACTCCAATATATTTTTCATTATGCAAATCACTCACAGAATTTTAGTACTGAAGACACTTAAGCAGCATCTCACTCTACCTCTTCATCTGTTAGATAAAAGTAAGAGCCTTATTCAAGTCTGCGCAGTTAAAACCCAGGACTTATAAATCCTCCTCCTTAGTATTCTTTTTGTTGTACATGTTTGCCCTCCATCTTTTAAGCTGTGTTTCTTTAAAATACACAAAATATTTAATAATTTTTGTTTTATATTTTTTGTAGATTCATGCAGAAATAGAAGAGTATAAAAGAAAGGGATAAGAAACAGACTCTCCATGTGGAATAAACTACATTTTTACCAAAAAAAAGTTACTTTAAAAATACCACTGAAGTCTTATCAAATTTAAAACAGTTTTTTTTCCTTTAAAGATTTATTTATTTTTGCATACAAGAACTGGGATACAGGCCAGAGGTGTGGGGTGGGTGAGAGGATTCAAAAGAGACAGAGTGGGGAGCAGAACAGGTGGGTGAGACAGGAGAGGTCTGCTGTACCATGTGGATCACCTCCCTGGCTGGGGATTGAGTTTGTACTACAGTGGCTGTGGACAGCTTCACAGTGCTGCATTTAACCTATCACCTTCCTACCAGGGAGGGCCAAAATAACTTTTTCAATAATAATGAATATAATAGACAATGCAGGTGAGAATTCTGTTTCAACCTGATCATTTATTAGCTATGTCAATTGAGCAGAAATTACTTTGAAAACAGTCATACATAAATGAAAGGAATTATAATAGCATAAACTTCATTTAAATGCACTTGTTGAATATTATGTTCTACTCCTACTGCTTTGTTGGAAACATAGCACATAAGCTAAACTGAACAATGTCTTTCATTAAATTATAAAACTCACCACTGTCACTGCTGCTATCAGAAGAGTCCTCTTCCTCCTCAGATTCAGAATAAAATTTCTTAGCAGGATTCTCTTTCTTTGCTTTTCCTGTTGGAGACCATTCTTTTGCCTGTTTTTGTTTAAAAAGATGTAAAAACATAACTGTCAATGAGTTCTCACTAAAGGATTTAATCTTTTAACAAACTTATTCAAAATTCTGTGAACCCAGAATTTTAACGCATCAATATAGAAGGCAACTATTAAAAGTTTTGCCATTAATGCTTATTCCCCTCTTTCACTCAGACTGTGACTATCAACTATCTTACTTTAATAACAATTTTAAACACTTTTCAATCTGGTGGTCTACAGAAGCTCTATCTAGCAAGAGTGAGGGCAATTAGCAGTAGACGATTATAACAACAACAATAAGAAATAACAAGTCCACTGCATGATATTGAGATAAAAGGAAAAAAATATTTAATGTGTATTAAACAACCACTACCACCTTAATAGCCCTAAACCTGAAACAGCCTTTGACTTTTCCTTTTCTCTCTTTTCCTAAATACCTAATCCATCAGGAAAGCCGCCAGGCCTTTTCACACATTGGCTAGAGTCATCTCTTTCTCTTATATTATTAAAACAGTTTCCTAATTGATTACCTTCTTTCTACTCCCACTTCTAATCAACCTAGTCCACATTTTCTTAATATAAGCAGTTAGGATGATTCCATTAAACCTAAATCCAAGCCCTTTTTTGGGTTTCACTCAGAGAAAAAGCTTAAGTTTCAGACAACACGTTGCTCAGCTCTACATGACTGGTCCTACATAACCATGCTTATCCCTGGGTCTTTCTGAATCCCTGCTGCTGCTCTTCCTCCTATAACTCTGATCCAGCTACTCCTCTGTTCCTTCAAACACCCCAGGTACGGGACTGCATGGCTCATTCCTTCACTAACTTCAAGTGTCTGCATAAATATCATTTTAGAGAGAACCATTCCATTTAAAATATCAACCTTCCATGTCTGGCCCTCCTGATCTTACTTTTCTAACATACCAGGCATCAGTTTCTAGATAGCAGGGATTTTGAATATTCTGTACATTATATCATCAATGTGTATAGCATGGTGATAATTAGTTATGTGAATACCCTCTTACATACTTTAATGATCTATGTTAAAATAACTTATTTTCAAAATTATGATTCATCAAGAAATATTAAATCATGTCCTATATGCTTTCTTTCAAAGGCCAGGGAGATTTATTTATTTAATTTTTTTAAGATTTATTTAATTATTCATACAGAGCTGGGGTACAAGCCAGAGATGCGGAGGGTGAGAGGATTCACCAGAGACAGAACGGGGAGCAGAACAGGCAGACTGAAGAAGTACACTGCTGAGGGGGGCAACGGGCAGGTCAGGAGAGGTCTGCCGCGCCATGTGGTCACCTCCGGGGCAGGTGGAGATTGAACTCATGCCGAAGTGACTTCAGCTTCTCAGTGCTGTGCTTTAACCGGCTGCGCCACCAGGGAGGGCCAGTTTTTTTTTTTTTTAAAGGTCAAAACGTTTAAGATTCATTTGCTCATCACAGTTTTAACTGAGTTGCTACTACGTGTCAAGGTGCTAGAGCACAAATGTAAAGAAATTTATAGCACAACATAGGCTCTTATTTAAGAATGATTTTCAGGATAGGATGCACATCAGAATTCCAGGGGATGATTTTTAAAGCTATTTATAATGCATATAATAAAGGTACTAGCAAAACTAATAATGCCCAGTTATCACTTGCTAATATTCTGATTTAATTACTGTGGTCCAGGTCTGTCTGTTTTAAGATGTCTGTATGAATATAACCTGAAGTTGGGGTTGAAACACCCCTGATCTAGAGGGGTTAAGATGCACTGCTTAATAAGACAAGCTTTGGTAACCTGGAAAATTGCTATCTGGATAATGATATTAAAATAAGTAAAAATTATTTAGATATATTAGAATAGGACACAGAGATCAGGAGTTCTCTCTCTGTGTACATATAAAATGCTCTGTTCTCCAAATACGAAATCAGTAATTTTCTATAAGTAAGTTCTTCTATATTTGGTAAATACTATTTTCCCCAATTTAAAAAACAACACACTTTTCTGAAGTTGGGTAGAAAGTATATCAGACCAATTTGTGGGAGAAAACACCTATTATGGCTTTCCTTTCAAATAAAAACAACTGGGGATTTTATGCTCTAAGGAGCATATTGTCTTGACAAGGACATGAACTTTATATTCATGGAGTTTTAGGTTTTAAAGGCGAAAAATTTACAGTAAACATTTTAATTCTTGTTATGATCTTTTATGACTATGATAACCGTATCACTCTAAGTACAAGGAGTAAAAGGGAAAAGAAAAGAAAAAGAACTGTGAGGCACTAATTTGAAAATGTCCCTGAGGGGAAAATATTGGTAAACATGTTTATAGAACAAAAATAAAACATACCTTAACATGCAAAGCAAAGACTTTCTGTAACTAAAGGGAAAAGATTGTGTAGAACTAAACAAACAAGTTCTAAAAGATCACTAAAACTCACTGATATCATAATATAAATAAACACTATATTTGATCTCCTGGAAATGGAAGGGTGTAATACAAAGTGATTTCTAGTCTTAATCTTAGGTTCCCTGCTGTTGGATTAAATATTCCATTTTCTAGCACTAGGACACTTTTTTTTTTTTAAGATTTATTTATTTATTATGCAGAACTGGGGTACAGGCCAGAGGCACAGGGGTGATGAGAGGATTCACCAGAGACAGAGCGGGGAGCAGAACAGGCAGATCGACTAAGTACACTGCTGAGGAGAGCAGTGGGTGGGCCAGGAGAGGTCTGCTGGGCCATGTGGATCGCCTGGGGCAGGTGTGGATCGAATTCATGCTGAAGTGGCTTTAGCCACTTATTGCTGTGCTTTAACCCACTGTGCCACCAGGGAGGGCCAGGCCACTTTTACTACTAAGTTATACTTCGTAATAATGAAATATGACCTGTAAGATCATTTCATAGCAACCTAGGACAACATAGTGTATACACTATGTATGAAATTCATTGATGTGACAGTGAAACGGAAGACTACATGAAAGCCACCAGCTGCATTTGATAACACTATATACTTTATTTTATATTTAATTATATCATAATGTTAAGCCAGGATACCAGGAGATCAATAAATTAAAAATTGTTTTATACATGGCATAAATGAATAGTGACAGTTTTTCTTCAATCAGGTTCCACCAGTTGTAATTATTCTGCATGTTACCAATTACTAATTTCCAGAATGTAGGCAGCAAAATGAAAAAGAGGTCAATTTGTTTCTGTTGAATTTGATAGGTAAAATGAATATATAAAAAAATAGGTTATTTAATACTATACTTAAAAAGTATAGTATTAAATAAAGCATGTAAAAATGGAAGCAACCAGCCAACTAACTGAATCTATTAGCTGGGAATACTGCTGAGACCAAATTAAATTGCATAACTTTGCTGTTAAATTTTTTACTTTTTATTTTATTGGTAGAGTGGGTTGGCAAGGGGGGGGGGAGGTAGGGCTGTATTAGGGGGAAGATAAAAGGATAGCTGTGTTTGGGCCAAAACATTCTGTACTAATAGTGAAGAAGAACAGAACCATAAAAACATCAGGCATAATAAGAAATTAGAAAATAGAGTGCATGGAAAGAATCATAACAAGTAACAGTCTCTTCATGTTCTAGCATTCAACTAAAAGTTGCACAAATAAGTCAATTTTTTTGCAGAGTACTTAGGATATGAATATCTGAGTGAAATTCAAACTTAGTTGCAAGGAGGAATAGATATACAATTAGCTTTAGTAACTTTTATATTAAAAAAAAAAACCTCTAAATAATCTGCCACAACATGAAAACGGTGATGCTAAGTACTAATGATCTGCAAACAGGCACAAGCTTTCTTTTCTCATGCTACATAATAAAATGCAGTTAAAGTACAACTGTCTCTAGCGATCCAAAAATAGCCATTCAAAACCAATTTCATTAGTTATTTTGGGGGCCTGGGAATCCTCGGATATTAATTTATGTGGAAAAATGTTGCAGTGTTTTCAATCCAAAAAATAATCTACCAAATCACTTTTGGATAGTGGGGGAAACCTGTATAAACAATGAACTCAGGTTTGAAATTTAGCTTGGAATTTCAGTCCCATCACTTACTAGCTATGTGAACTTGGGCAGCTTACTTAGATTCTCTGAATCTTGTTTTTCTGATCTACAAAATGGGATAACAATAACCACCAGTTATAGTCATTAGCAGGTTAACCAAGATGGTATTTTTAAAACATTATCATAATACACTGCCAGGAGTTGCTAAGTGGAACCATTATTAGTTATTATTGCTTCTGGCTATGCTCCAAAGCCAGGATAAGTCTGAGAAATTATAAGAAACATTTTTCTCAGAAGAATCACATTACATAATTACATCTGTTATGTCTTCTATTTAAACTAATAAAGATTTTCTTCTATTGCATATGAAAAATTTAATAGGCAGGGAGGTTAACCAGCTTTCCCATAGGAATAAATGGTATAGAACTCTGGTTATCTGAATGCCAGTTCAATGTATCCTTTCTACTGGAAAAGTATCCAGAATGTATTACATAATTTTTATTTTTTATTAATTCTCCTTTAAAATTATTGGATATATATGACATAATCTCTCAAGGCAATTTGCAACCCTTCTCTTTAACTTTCTTGTTTAGATAAGGAGCTATTAGAAATGAATATTTCAGTCCCATCACTGAAATATGCTAGTGACTAGCATATTTTAAATGATCTAGAAAAAGGGTATTTCTATAAATAAGTTCTCTCTCTAGAAAGAACTTCAGTAGGAAAGAAACATAATCTCATGTTAATTATGGCCTCTGCTAAGGATATTTTTTGGTACACAATGCTCCTTATTTATGTTTAGACAGCACTTCAATGAGGTTGACCAAAAAATCCAGAAGGATTTTCTGGAAGAGAACAGCAAAATTACTTTAAAAAATATTGACAGGAAGCTTGCAGAAAAGTTTAAAAAAAGCTCTATTCAATGAAACTAAATAATTACAAATTGAATCTACATAGCTACCAATGCAATACCACAACTGTGGGTAGCACTCTTGCTGAGAATTCAATTCTGCATTTCCTTGAAGAAAGAGAAGAGCCCATGTACGATGACAAAGGGAATATTACAATATTTAGTTCCCATAACAGTGAGCTATATGTAACACATTACATTTAGAAATACCAGAACAATTTTCAACTCCCTTCAAAAGCTTTTATATAAAACAATAGTTACTTTAGAATCTCCCACTGCTTGACAAATTAGTTTCAGAAAGGTCAACTTACCAACTCTATTACTTCTACATTTCGAACTGATGGGTCAGGCGCCACCTCTGGCCAATTAGATAATTCCAGGTACCCAGTAGCTTTAGAGTTGAGAGTATGAGATAAAGTGCCAAGCTGGAAATGATCCCTATCTATTAAAATGGAGGAAAATATAAAATAAACAATATGAGCTGTATATAACAGAGAACAATGCTAATCAGAGCTCAAGGTAATTGGCATATTACCTCAAATGTCAAGAAATAAATATAAACTAGGAAGCTCTTCATAGGTCAAAAAACTGATTTCAGTCCATAGATTACAATAATCTCCCCCATAATGGTCAATAAAAAAGCTAATCAGTCAGTGTGTTTAGAGGTGTTGCTCTGAAATGTAGCTTCTCTAAAAATTACTTTACTGTGAATATTAAGAATGACAGCACAGTTAAACAATCCATATACATGTCTTGGCACAAACACGTCCAGAATTTTAATAGTTTTTCTATAAAATTGAACTGCTTTTTATCGCTTTTGAACAATTAAATAAGAAACAATGTGAAAAAATCAAGGTATATAATCACCTTATTCCAACTGTAATGGCTACTTGTTAAACTGGTAAAATAATTACTCCTTTTAAAAACTCAAAAAATTAAGTGAACCTCCATCCTTATATAAACAAATGTGATTATAGAAGACTATTCACAAAATAATTCTTCTGAGAAAAATTTGTTAGTGTACATAAAACATTTAATCAATAACAACTCACAATAAAGGTGAATATTGATCCTTATTAAATAAAGCTACTTTAAAAAAAATGAAATCAACATCTACAATAACAGAGTTTTTTATCTACTGTTCAACAGCTTAACTGTTTAAATTATTGAAATTATTTTGGTACATTAAATCTATAAAAAATAAACTAATATAAAGCTTGATCTGGAGAACAGATGAATGAGTAAAAAAACACATCCTTATATACTTATGTATGCTAACCATAAATATTAAACATGTAAATATTAAACATGTTAGAAATAGGGTGTATTACCATAATTTTTTAGACAACATATATTTTTGTTATGTATTATAATACCTTTAAAAGGAGATTCAAGCAGTGGTGCAGGTTTTTGCGCTAGGAATATTTTTTTGGCATATTTACTTAAAGCTCCACTCTTCTCATTCGGAACAATAAGCTGCCTAATAAATCTTGTACGGTCTCTGATGTCGTAGTTTTGATCATACTTGCCGAGATTTAATATGTACTGGGTAAGCAATTTTGTCTGTTAGAAAAAAGCAGAACAAGATGAGAATACAGTTATTTATGATTATTGATAACTCTGGATAAACATATTTAAAGAAGTAATAAAAATGAATGGTTATGTCAAACAAATGTTGTTCCATAGGGAATATGCATTTCTATCGCTGCAAATGGAATTTTGAAGCCAAAGCACATGTCCTCTTCAGTATTGGGGAGGTGAATGCTGAGTACTGAGAAGCAGCCATGTGCTAGATTATTAAACTGCTGAAGTGGAAAGAAAGGCATCATTAAAAAAATAATCATATATGGCAAACCCGCTGAAGGGTCTACGTGAGAATAATGAATGTGGAAATACAACTAAAAACATGGCACTCAAAACTTAATCGGAAAAATATGCAGGACATCAAAACATCAGAGAGTATTAGGGGGCTGGCAAACTGCTTCTCCTGAGGTGTGTTTTATGAAGAGATACTGTCCCTGGCATAAGCAGTGTCTGCACTCTGACTGCACTCAGTTACTTTACCCTGAATTATGACCCATTAAAGCAGACACATGAATCACTGAACTGGATTACTGCAAATTATTTGCAGTGCATTTAGCTGTTACTTTTTCATAAAAGCAAGCTGCTGATGCCCTCTAAAAACTAGGATAAAAGACTCCTTCCATTTTTTTTCCCATGCTGCTTATAGCCTCTAGTAATATTGGTCATTTATTTATTTATGTAAGGGAACAACTTATTATAGTAGCTTTTACACTGTAATAAGATTTTCTAAGTCAATTTTTGAAAGTACTACATTAAATACATTGAGATAATTTTAATTATAATTAAACCAAAATTGAAATGTTAACAAAATAGGTTTGTATTTTAAGCATCTTATTTTTTTATAATATAATAGTTTATTTTTACATCATTTTGTGCCTTTTCCCATCTCAGTTGTCATTTAAACGTGTAATTTTATTGAAAAAAAAAAACACCCTCATTTTAATTTAGAAGGTTATATCCACAAATTGGATTCAAAAATATGGAAAAATAAACATCTACATTAGAATATTTTAGACATTAGAAACAGATAAAAATAAAATCAATCAAGTCAAAGATTAAGACATTTCTAGCACAGTAAGTCAAAGTACAGGAATAGAGTGCTAAACTCTTAGAATAATAATTGGTTAAGATAATTGATTTGGATAGAAAGCAACCTTCATTTAGTGACAATGTATTTAAAAAATATAGTTTTAATAAAGTACAAGTGAAAGTGTTAACAGAACTATTATAAATTTGGTTATCAATTGCAATTCACTAATTTCTAAGAACAGGTATGTTCAACAACAGATAGGAAAAATTCATAAGACAATTAGCAAGATGTTCACCAAATGAGTACACTCAAAACCACATTTCTGGTAAATTTAGTATACTGAACTGTATAATTACCTTTTTGGGATAACCTGCCAAAGACATTTAGCTATAAGTTTTTACCGATGCAGTATAAAAATTTAGAACTAGGTTAGCAATAAAGTCCATTTGAGTGTTACAATTTAGAATATGCAAACAAAATAAATTAGAGAAAGAAAATAAGTTTGTTCACTGTAACCATTTTTAGTGAGCTAGCAGAGTGATTTCTTTGCTGGTATTTTAGATCTCCAAAATTAAGTTTAAACAATTCAATTATTATCTTAATATATTAACCCATGCAACTAAGAGTGATAGGGAATTTTAAATAATTAAATTATGTAAATATTTATGATAAATATTTATTGACTGTAAGCTTACTATATTGGTGGGTTTATAAAACAGTTCTATTAAAATGCATTTTCAAAAACATTCTTTTGAAAGACAAAAACATATCTGTGTACAAAGATGCATTAAAAACACAAGCAGAATAATTATATAATACATATTTATATATTCTAATCAGTTTCTTAGCTATCTATCACTAATACTAAGTCAGTGATAATCTTCAAAAACTTTTATGAAGTTTTTGATCAATACTTTTATGATCAAGACATTATGAACTGATTTTCTATAGACCATGATATTTTTAATGGAGAAAATGCCTTCTTTACAATATTGAACAAGCTGGCAAGCTCAGAAAAAATTCTGCTAAATGCAGTATATTCTCAATACTTTCTTTTATGTTGAACATAGTACATATGTCAAGAGCAGATATTTAACAATTGCCCCTATGTTCAATGAAATTTTTTTCTAATTATTTTTATGACACAAAAACTTGTAGTCTATGTATACTCCTGAATATTTCTGCAAATTTAGACATTGTAAAAATCACCTTAATTCAATTGATTCTAACGCAAAATATAAACTTATCCAATTAAAATAAGAACTCTATCAAAAAAGTCTTCACTATAGTTGGGATACTGCAAATGACAGAACTCCCAAAATAAATCTTAAATTTTTACTATTAAATTTGTTCAGTTCTCCTCTGGTTTGTATAGAAACAAAATTCAATGTCTTCCTGTGTATAAAACTTGTTTCCAAGAATTGTTATTTGTTAAAATTTTCAAAAGCTAAGGTTTCTGGCACTTTACTTGGTTAACATTTAAAAGATTTCCATATGATTCTGAATCAAAATCTAACAAATATAAAAAAGTTTTTACTTTCTATCACTCATCACAGCTCCTTCCCATAGCAAAAAAGCCAATATAGGACACTTTAATTAATTTACAAAGCAGCTTTTCACAAAATCACTCCTAAATTTTCACTCCTAAAATTCTTTTGGTAGTGTGTGTACTATCATGCTGAAGTATGTTTCTTCAATATTAACTTCATCAATGGATTTTTGTAGTTCATTTAAACTACATGTATCAAATTTCAGTAATGCACGCATTACAAGTTTATTTCAATTGGTGAAACAAGCACTTTGCTTGCATACACCACACCAATTCCCAAAATATTTCTGTTCCATAGCTAACTTAAATAGAACATTGATTTTTACCATGACAACAACCTTTTGACAAAAATGAGCAATTATCTTCCTATCTTCCATGTTAGGCTTTCAAATTTACAATAGCAGTTACGGCATTTTTGATAGAATAAACTTACAAAGCTTTATTTTGATTTCATTTACAGTACTTTGAAAGAATAAGTATATAAAAGCTTTGAGTGAAAAAATTCAAACTATTATTAGAATTAATTTATTTTCTATTTGAAAACCAAATAGGTCTTCATCTGCTAATGGAGCTAACATATTAACAGCTATTGCTTCATTTTTCATATGTGCAAAAGAAAACTTGGAGTAAAAGAATGAATAATTGTTTTTAGAAAAGTTTTTTGATCTAAATAAGATCATGCTTCACAGAGATATATAAACATTTTTTGCATTTGTATATATATATGTCTCCTTGAGGCATATGTTTCCTAAAATAACACCTAACTTTTGAAATTGATGACGAATCCTTTTTTTTTTAATTATTTTTTTTTCAATTTATGGTGCCTTTTAGTTGCTATGTTCTGGGTGATATCACAACTTTTATGGTGGATGTTAAGTGCTGATAAATACTATATATTAGTTACTGAAAAAATTCAGTACTTAATTTCTGAAATATACAATTTCAATTTAAAAATGTATTTCACCTAAGTTTTTAAAAAAATAAAGAATTGCCAAATAATATGCTTTAGATTTGCATTATACAATAAATTACAAAACTACTGTAGTGAAGAGTAATCTAATCACTCTCTCTAATAATCTATACCAGGTCTGCTCTGTCTTCATCTTCTGAACATATTTCACCAATAACCAACTTATAACTTCCCATGTTTTCTTTTGACTCCATGCACTGATAGCCAGAAGCTTAATGCTTCATAAAGGCCACTGGCATGACTTGCTGGTACATCAAGTTACCAACAGATGAAATACTGTTAAAAAGATATCTTACAGGAAAAGCAAAAAATTTAGCTATTTCAGCTTTCCTAGTCAGGGTATACTTCATTTTATCCACACACATCCTGCATGCTGCTCGAAAATGGAGAACATAGCTAGATTACATCTCAAAAATACTGGAAAACAGTCTTTTGAAGTAAAAAGGGAAGAAATTGGCAAATGTGTTTGGAAAGTGAAAGAGAAGTAAACAGAACTTTTGAATTAACACTAGAACTAATTAAATTAGTACTTATGTTCCATCTAATCAATTTCATCATTTCATGACTAAATGGAAATGTTTATATAAGTGGGATTTAATTTCATGAATTTAGTGTATACACATTTTTTCAACTTTAAGTTGTCAATGAAGAGAAAATATATCCAAAAAAGGGTAGTGATGTCATTGCACAAAGACAAAGTCCCTTTTGTTAATGTTCATAAGAGTTGGGGGGAGATTTTTCCAAAGATCCAAATCACAAGCCAGTGAGAATTTGTTTTAACTTTGGAACGATGCCTTCAACATATGTGGAATATATAAAATTTCTCACTAAGAGTCAAAATGTAGATGTTCCACAAGTACAAGTCTAAGTATCTTCAACAAAGCATTTTCTACTCTAATACAAAACATGTAGAAACCCAACTGTGTCACAAAAAATGAGAAAGCTAATTAAAATATATATTACATATCTACAAGTTAATATTTTTTAAAAAGATGTTGGTTTACAAAGCTGCAAAACCTATAAAGCAAGAATACTACTCATAAAATAAGGACACATTCACATAATAAAAATGTAAGATATTTATGATTAAGCACACTGACAATGTGACAGTGGCTAACAATGGAAGGAAATAAAGGTGCAAAGTGAAAACTGAGGCTTTAGCTCTATTATATTCCTTTAAAAAAATAAGAAAAACTATGCCAAAAATATTGACTTAGGGGTTTTTGTTGGCTTTCAGCATGCTATTGGGGTTCCAACTCAGAAGAACTGGGGAGACAGCAAGATGGCGGCAGAGTAAAGATGCCAAGATCACTGCATCCAGGCTCGCGCAGGAATTTAGGATTGAAAATGGAATACAGACTTACATACTACAAGTTTCAAACGAAATGAGAACACCCTGGACTCATGAGAAGGAAGATAACTAAGGAGAA